GAGTTTGATTAATATGTGTCTTGGCATGTTTCTCCTTGGATGTATCCTGTATTGGACTCTCTGTGCTTCCTGGACTTGATTAACTATTTCCTTTCCCATATTAGGGAAGTTTTCAACTATAATCCTTCAAATATTTTCTCAGTCTCTTTCTTTTTCTCTTCTTCTTCTGGAACCCTTATAATTCGAATGTTGGTGCGTTTAATGTTGTCCCAGAGGTCTCTGAGCCTGTCCTCAGTTCTTTTCATTCTTTTTTCTTTATTCTGCTCTGTAGTAGTTATTTCCACTATTTTATCTTCCAGGTCACTTGTCCGTTCTTCTGCCTCAGTTATTCTGCTGTTGATCCCATCTAGAGTATTTTTAATTTCATTTATTGTGTTGTTCATCGTTGCTTGTTTCATCTTTAGTTCTTCTAGGTCCTTGTTAAATGTTTCTTGTATTTTTTCTATTCTATTTCCAAGATTTTGGATCATCTTTACTATCATTATTCTGAATTCTTTTTCAGGTAGATGCCTATTTCCTCTTCATTTGTTAGGTCTGGTGGGTTTTTATCTTGCTCCTTCATCTGCTGTGTGTTTTTCTGTCTTCTCATTTTGCTTATCTTACTGTGTTTGGGGTCTCCTTTTTTCAGGCTGCAGGTTCGTAGTTCCCGTTGTTTTTGGTGTCTGTCCCCAGTGGCTAAAGTTGGTTCAGTGGGTTGTGTAGGCTTCCTGGTGGAGGGGACTAGTGCCTGTGTTCTGGTGGATGAGGCTGACCCTCTCTCCTCTCCCTATTCTATCTTTTTGCCACTGTATTTGTTTATGAGTTTATTATAACAGTCTTCTAAATCACCTCCAATTATGTTTTCATATGGTTCTAGAGTGATCTTTCTAAAATCCCAATTTTTTGTCTTCTGCTTATAGTCCTTCAATACCTCCTTCAGGTCTTAAATTTGAAGCCTGGCAGACAGTACTCTCAATGACCCAGGCTTTGCTTACATGCCCAGCTATAGTTTGACATTCTCATATCAACTTCTGTTACCTATTCCTACTGAACCGTCCGCAGCTCCCTTGAAAATGTCTTATGTGTGCTTCCTTGCTCTTTTACTTATCTTCATCTTCACCTGGTACAGTTTTCTCCATTGCCATCCGATTTTGCTTAACTCATCCTTATCTTTTAAAACTAAGCTCAGGTGGTCTTCTCTTATGCTCCCCATGTTGAGTTAGTTTCCCCAGCTTGGGGCTTTGAGAGCAGACCACTGTATGCATGGTGGAGACCATTCTAGCTGAGTGAGGAGAATAGAGTGCCATTGGGTCTAGAAAACTCCCCTTAACCTTCTTTGGTTGTTGCATGTCATGGACAGTGAGTTGAGAGCTAGGTGCCATGATAGGGTAGAAATGGGCTTCTTGTGTTAAAAAAAAAAGCTGCTTCCCGAATCAGTGCACATCCTAGAGGAAGATTGGGGGTTATTAGTGATTTCCTAAGAGATCATACTCATGAGAGTAAGCTGACCCAGCTGAAGATTGTCCAGTCCCTTCAACTGGATCAATTCAGGCTCGACCAAGTCATGCAATACATCAAGCGGGGGAACTCCAATGGCCATGTGATGCTCCTAGTTACCAGGTGACCCCAGTGGGCCTGGCGGTGAGGAGATGCCCATGATGGAGCAAGGCCTATCTCAGGAATGTGGTCTCCTACTTGAAACAGAAGCAGGCTGTAGGGGTGATCTGCCTGCCAGTGAGTGGGGTCCATGGGGGAGGGGGAAATGAAGAACAAACATGCTGCCTTATATGTATTCCTGCCCTGCAACCTCTCACAACAGTACTTCCAATCAGCACTAAGGACATTGGGCAAACTAGAGGAAGAACATAGAGTAATAGTTACAGTCAGAGACACTGCCTAGCCCAAACCTGTTTTTTCCAGTTCCATTTTTTTGGGGTGTCACAAAAGCAGTTATTTTAAAATCTCATCCCTTCCCTGTCTTACACCTTGGTTTAATTCTCTGCTGGGATATTTTAGTTCATTTGTTGGGGAACCAGAGGTCCTGTCCACCACCAAAACTAAGTTTTTAGGTTTTGCTTTGTTTTCACAGTTATGAGAAGGGACTCCTGTTATATTGATGTCTAGCATACAGATACTGTCTGTTGTGTTATGTATTTTTAAAAATGTTTTTTTGACTAACTGTATGGGGAGTTGTCAGTAAAACCTTTGTCAAAGGATGGACTAATAAAACATACAGGGCGATGACAGTGCGATGAGGTGATCCCATAGCCAAAGTTGGAGGTGACCTGCAAGGCCTTAGGACCATGAGGAATGAGGAAGGTATCTATTTGGGTCTATAAAGCTTAGAGTTGAATCAGAAAGAGAAGAAACTGCAGATGCTCCTTGGGAGCAATTTCTCTAGGCAAAAAGTAGACCTTGAATAGCCAGGTGCTGACTTTAGCACTGCCTACTGACTAAGAGAATAAGTGGTATTTTCTTGGGTACCAGTGGGTGCCAGAACATTCCCTGAGGACTCACACCAAAAGAAGTGTAAGCCACACACTTCTTTCACCAGCATCCACTCACTATTTTAGGGAAAGATGTGTAAATTATTGGATTTAATTAAGTATTAAATTAGCTCAGATATTTCGTCTCTTTTTTTGCTAGCCAATATATGGGGCTCAAGAGAAAGGCATTGTCTAAAGAGAAATTAAGAAATTAAATTTTCTATTTATATCTAAATGGTAGCGTGACTTAAAATTTGTGACTTCGTTACATGCCCATAAGAAAAAAAATATTTTAGAAAACATACCTTAGTTTCAGGAGAAATATTTACAAGAGTATGTGCAGAGAAGTTCCATAAGCTAGGTCCCCATGCTACAGGTGAACTTTCAATAAGTACTTTTTCTTCTCAGAGCCTTCTGCTCACTGTTTTCCCCCTCACTGGCGTATGCTCTTGTCTTTTTGATGTTTATTATTAGATTTTGCTTCTTCAGTGAGGATATCAGAGAGCCTAAGTCATTCCTGGAAACCAGCATTTCATCCTTGTCCTCTTGCTTTCCATCCTACTGGTCCTTGCCAGAAGTCCCCGGTTGCCTGGTGTAAGAAAACATCATAATTATCTCATTAATATTTGGTCCTGGCCTTCTTGCTAATCAGATTATTATTGCTGAGAATTCAAAGGAAGAGAGCAGAAATCTACTGAAAAGGAATAAATTGGTCCTCAAATTATAGTTCCAGGAAACCGCACAGGGACAAAAGCTAGTGAAATAAGAGATCATGCAGAACGTCGATTTATGAGGAGAGTGTAGCTCCATGAATTTAACTAGCCTAGATTCTAGGATTCTGGAAGGCAGAGACCATGTCCTCAGTACTGCCTTCTGCACCTTGTCTGTAGCAGGTTCTCACATTTGTTGACTGTATAAAGATAAGCAAGTTCCAATATGAACTGCTTCCCCGCCCCCCGCCCCCCCCCACCTTTTCTGTCCTCTCTGAATTCACTTACTGCTTCCCAGAATGTGTTTCCTGTGTGGAAAGTGATATGCACTGGATAAGCCCAAATGGGCTGTTGTAACACTGGAGATGCATTTCTGCTTTGCCATCTGTCATTCAGAGGATGGTGATGATGGTTTTAAAGCCATTGGCCATAATATGATTGACAAGCTTGCTGACTGCTCAAGTATGGTATTTGGCACTCATAATTATTGGTTTTCTTTCCCTACCCTCCATTCCTGTTCTGGGTTCCATGTGCGACTATAATGGGTAAAACTGATTCCAGTAGTAAGACTACCTCTGACTGAGGTGCGTGAGAGCCCAGAGAAATAATATTTGCAACTTCCAAATCAAAGCCAGTATTTCTGGTCACTATGACTTCAAAATATATTCTAGAGCGACTGTGACTCTTAAAATAACTCTATAAAATACAAGCCAGCTCAAAAAGGAGATTCTTTTCCACTGGATATAATATCATTAGACTGATGACATTGTGTAGATATTCCTACCAGTGGTAAATTCCCTAAATTAGTACAGTGAATATTGACAGAGCACGATCTTTGTGTCTTATCCCATACAGACTATATTTGTTGATGTGGTTTCTTTAATGAAACTGGAAGTTTTCATGAATGGAGGCAAACCTGTTATCTCATTGCTTACATTCTTTCTGGAATTTGCATATACAAAGATACAAATTCCGGAAATAGCTAGTCAAGAGAACAATCCACAGTCCATAGAAGTCCTGCATAGCAACTGTAAATTTTGAACCAGAGGTGGATCAGAATAATATATAGCCATAGTTCTCTGAATTATTCACGGGGAATAGATGGCTGGGCTCACTTTGGAACTCTGATTCAGCACTTTCAATCTGGTAAGATAATTGGAACCACTCTGGTTTTGCTCTTGTCATATCCACATTTGTAAAATTATAAGAGCTTTTATTTATTTGTAGAAAAGGCCATAACATAACCCAAGTGCCATTTTAAAATCTAGCTAAAAGTGTATTCTGATTCTGAGACTTGATTATTTTGTTTACCACCTGGAAGCAAGCACTGTGAGGAGTCATTGTGTGTTTGTGTGTGTGTGTTTGTGTGTGTGTGTGGTGTGTGTGTGTGTGTGTGTGTTCCTGATTGCCAGATCATCCCCTGTATGCTGTGGTTACAACAGGGCACAGTCACTTGGTAGAGTAGCAGCCCTTGAAGATGAATTTCTCATAAAATCTTTTTGAACAGTCATTTATTTTCCTGAAGAAAAAGTAGACAATACCATAAACAAAGTGTGCAGTTTCTGGTTTTCCATTTACTCTGGAAAGGTCAGAGGTAATAGAGAGTAGTTAGGAGTGAAAATCCAATGCATTGAATTAGATATGAAACATGTCAGCAGGCTGCTGTTTTTTCAATCATTAAAAAATGACATATACTCAGTCATTTGGTCTGCAGCAAATTCTTTGGTACACAAAGGACCCTGGTGTTCGTGTAGGTCTGTGCACTGCTTGCTGGAAAACTCTTTAAGCCATTTCCCTCTTCCGTCAATGTGTTGTTTCATCCCAGTCTTTTAGATCGACTAAGGACCAAGGAAGATACTCTTCAATATAATAATGAGGAAGAACATTGACTTCCTGGTTTCTGAATGGTAAGGATGTTCTTAAGCCAAAGTATATAATTTCTGGAGAACTCAGTAAGTACTTTGTTTATGGTGACATTGCCTCCCAATCATTTTAAGGTCTAGCTGCCAAAGCATGGATTTATTTTAAAGTAATAACAAATAGGAAAGAATCAGATCTCTTGTCTTCTTTCATGCCAAACTTTCCTTGCCTTTTTTCTGATTCTCTGATTAACCCCTTGTAGATTGTTTTCTTTCCCTCTGAACCTTTTGGTATTCTCTCTTTTGGCCTTTTTTCCTCTCTGTATTCTCTCTCTAGGCAATCTCAACCACTCTCGTCACTTCAGCCATCCTGAATGATTTGAAAACTGTAGTTAGTCCCAACATTTCCTTGTAGTTCAGACATCCAGAATGATAACAACAACAATGACAATATTCACGTGTCCCTACTATGTGCAAGGTACTGGGTTAACTAGTGTATGCTCGTGATTTCATTAACTCTTACAACCACCACCAGTGAGATAGACGCTATTATCATCTTCATTTTACAGAGGAGGAAACTAAAGTTTAGCCATGTAACAAAATTTGCTTATGGTTACACAGATAGTAAATGACTAAGCTGGGTTTTAAACCCTGACAGTTTGATTCTACAATGAGTGCTTTTTCAACCACAGAGACCTGCCTGTCAACCACATGCTAAGCATCTTCCTTTGAATCTTCTACAGGCCTCTCAAAGCCAGTATACAAATCTGCTTCCCTTTTGGCAATTAACTCATGCATTCATTCAACCAATAAGGAATTTACCACGCATCACTGAGAGCCAGACCACTGCCTATGCATAAAGGATAAAATGTTGAACTGAACAGTAGTGTTCCCTGTATTTACAGAGTTTATTATTTAAAGAGGAGAGACTCGGGACTTCCCTGGTGGCGCAGTGGTTAAGAATCCACCTGCCAGTGCAGGGGACATGGGTTCGAGCCCTGGTCCAGGAAGATCCCACATACCGCAGAGCAACTAAGCCCATGCGCCACAACTACTGAGCCTGCACTCTAGAGCCTGCGAGCCACAACTACTGAGCCTGCATGCCGTAACTACTGAAGCCTGCATGCCTAGAACCCATGTTCCACAACAAGAGAAGCCACCACAATGAGAAACCCGCACACCACAACCAAGAGTAACCCCAGCTCGCCGCAACTAGAAAAAGCCCATGCATAGCAACGAAGACCCAATACAGCCAAAAAGGAATAAAGGTAGGAAGGAATGAATGAAGGAAGGAAGGAAGGAAGGAAGGAAGAAATTTAAAAAAATTAAAAGGGAAGACTCATTAATCACATTATTGTGCAGCTGGAAAGTTAATTACAAGCTGGGAGACGTGCGAAGAGGGGCAGGTGCAGAATGCTGTGAGAGCATCTAACAGGAAAGGGGCCGCCTTTGAGGAGAGAAGGAGGGCAAGAAAGGTTTCCCTGACAGATTGCTAATTCAGCTGAGATCAGAAGAATGAGTAGTCGTTAACTAGGCAGAGAATGGCTTCCAGGAAGAAATTACAACGTCTGCAAAGGCCCTGAGGTGGGGTGATGGGGAAAGCATAGCATATTAGAGGGTTTGCAAAAGAAGATTGGTATATCTGGAGGAGTAGTAAAAGTTGCAGGTGTAGACTAGGCAAGTAAGGACAGGACCATGTAGGGCCTTCTAGTATGTACTAAGTATTCTCCTCTCTTCCTGTTACCAATGAAAAGCCATTATAGTGGCTTAGTCACTGTAGTGAAAGAATAAAATTTATGCTTGGAAATATTATTCTGGCTGCTTTTTGAAGACTGAATTGGAGGGGGAAAGAATAGATTCAGGGAAACCAATGAGGAGATTTCAGTGCTCTAAGTGAGAGATGATAGTATTATTTTTCATTACTCTTGTTTAGAAAGGGTGGTGGTCTTGGAGACAGAGACCAAAAAACACCCAAATCTACCTTAACATTCAAATCAGAAATCGTGGTATTATCTCAACTTCATTCTTTCCCTACTTTTCTTATCTTACTATTCTCTGTTGATTTCACCACAACATCTTTAATATCTTCTCTCATATCTCCATTTGTTTTTGACATTTGTCAAAGACATTTGTTTTTGAGGCTGTCCATCCTTCTTGTATTTCTCTCTTCCTTCTTAATCCCGTAATAGCCACTTCTCAACCCAAACCCTGCCCAGTGGTCCCTGCTACCGGCATATCCATGTGACCCCCTGGCTGTCTGTGGCGTGACCTCAGGCCAGTGCTCTCTTGAGGAGTGCTCTTGCTTTGACTTGTTTTCTATATATATATTATTCAAATAATAGACCAGAAGGGGAAGAGAGGATTTTGTAGCATTACCTCTTCATACTTGGCCTATGATGGAAATGATGGTGCTACTGACTAAAAGTGGGATGATCCGATTTTTGAGGAAATTGATAAACTCAGGTTTCAAATATGTTGAATCTTAAGTGTTTATAGAATAGACAGCAGACAATTGAAAGTATGGGTTTGTAGCTTGTAGAAAAGTCTAGGTTAGTGATAAGATTTAGCAACAAAAGTGGCTGTTGAAGCCGTGAGTTTATCTGAGTTTATCCAAGAGATGTGTACAGATTGAGGAGAGGGCTGAAGATGGAGCTCAGGGTAACACCCACATTTGAAAGCAAAGTGGAAGACGAGAACCTTGGAAGAATATTGAGGAAAAGTTACTAGAGAGGTAAGAGAAACCAGGGGAGGGCAGCCTTACAGAAGCCACAGAAGGGGAGGGTTTCAAGAGAAATAGACTCTTTACCATGTAGATGATAATCCGTTGAATTGCCTGCTCAGCAAAGCTCTCTCTCTGTGGGAACCATCCCCCAACTAGCCTGTATAGTTCCAAAGTTGCTAATAATCCCAGTGTTCTGCCTGCGTGTTGGCACAAGGGTAGACATGAAGCTCAGATCTGAGGAATCATAGCGTGGGATTTCCCTCTTCATAGGATTGGTCCAAATTAGTAGCAATGTGATGGAAACAAAGCCTGAATTCATACATGTGAGAGTAGTTTCCCAAATTGTGTTGGTACTGTTATCTTTAAAAAGCCATATAAGACACCTGTGGAAACATAACCCAGCTATAAGTCTATAAGTGGGTTACAGGATCCAGATCCTACAATCTATTATTTGGAAATGAACCTTACTTTTCTGGTGAGATCTAACTTTGAAACTGATGAGTTAGTAAACAAAAAAATGAGATTATTGTAATAGGAAAAGGAAAAGATGGTTCATTAACTATCTTTTTCAGTTCTAATGAAAAGCTAGAGCTGGTCATCATGCAAAATTATGATATTCAACTCACAGAACAGTCTCTCAATTTAATACTATCTTATTAAACATCTTTGATAATGAAAGAAAATGTTTTTACTCCTGATGGATGATCAGAAGGGTGATATCAGCCCATATCCTGAATATTCCACATATGGGATTTTTATAATTCATCTCTCTAAGGGGAAATCTTGAAGTTACTCTTATTGCATCTTTTAAAATTGAGGTATAATTGACATATAACATTATGTTAGTTCCAGGTGTACAGCAGAGTGATTTGATACATCATGTATATATCGTGAAATGATCATCACAGTAATGATTACTATCAGTCACTATACATAGTTACAAAAATTTCTTCTTGTGTTATTGAATCTAAATCTGCTTCTACTCAACTCCTAACTAATCTGAAAGATGAAGAGGATTATAGACTTTTATATCAGAAGGACCCTTAGAGACTACCTAAAATTTTAACCCTCTCCCTTTACAGATGAAGAAAATAAAGCTGAATTGCCCAAGGTCACTCAGTTGGAGGCATATCAGGAACTTGTACCAATTCTCAGCACAGAAATATTCTCTCCTTGCTACACTGGTCTGGGATTCTCCCTTCTTCAACATCTCAGGGAGCACAGCCAGACTCTGATTTAAAATGACTAGAATGGCTTTATTATTAAATGCTTCAAGCTATAAGGTTAAGTAGGGGTTCACATAAATAATGTGATTAATACTTCTTGTGACTATGTGCTTTGTCTCTTCATAATTGGGATGTGAACATAGTTCACAGCAGCTAAGGAGACCCTGTTCTTTATAAACGCTACGGAACAGCTGCACAGTATCATCCTGGCTCTTGAAAGTTTATGAAGTAAAGCAAACTGCTGAAATGACATTAACCTTATTTAGTTTATTAGAATTATTTTTGACTAATTTTATATTTTGACCAAGATTAGTAACATTTCATAGTTTAGATTTCTGAGCTGAGTCTGCTATTTTTACAACCACTGTTACAAATGGTGGTGCCCAGTCCTATGTGTGGCCCATTAATAATGGGATTATGGAGAATTGTATGATATGTCCAGCTTAATTCAATGTACTCCTGCAGTCTTCTTCAAGGAAGCACCAGGACCCATGAAGGATGCATTAAAACATGCTTTCAGATGCATGATAGCTGCTTCCAGCTCAATAGACCTCATGGAATAGTCCGCAAAATAGGTACTTCAGAAACCTTAGCACGTTCAATTCTATCATGTGGACACTATAGCCTGAGCTGGCAGTGATCCCATAATATGACCTGACGAACTTGAAAAGGGCTATCTCCTATCAAATTTAAGCACTGTCCAGTTTGGAGGGGACGTCGTCATGCACAGCCCTGATCCTCTTTAATGAAGGACTTGTTAGGAGTGCTGTCAGCAGACATCCTTCAGTGTCAACCCCTCCAGAGATTACCTCAGTTATAGGCAGCTGTGTTGCCCAAGATCGTACCCTTTCCAAGAGGACTCATGTACAATGTCTAATGGGGCATAAAAGTCTAGTTATCTTGGTTGAATTCAGGACAACTCTGAAGGCCCATTCTATCTCCAGCATTCCCCATGGCATTGGCCAAGTCTCTCTTTGGGCTGTCACTGTAGTTTGACTTCCTGTTTCATCCATTTTTTGCTTCCACTCCCTCTCTCCCCCAAATATTGATCCCAAGTGTACTCCTAAATAAACATCTTGAATGCAAAACTTTATCTTAGTCGGCTTTCCAGGAAACTGAGCCTGGAACATAAATATTTGCCTTTTCCCTGTTAGCTGAAATGTATTGTCCAATATCATCATCTATTTGCATGTTGGGCAATGCT